AGTTCTTATGGATGATAATACTTCTACTGCTACGCTTCCAGCTTTGGCATAGGCATCTAGCCCTTTCGTTGTAAACGCAGCCATCACCTGCAACATTCAAAATGATCAACAAGGAATTACGAAAACTTGCAGTTCCAGTTAGTATTACTTTCAGCAACACAGTGGTAGGGGATTGGGAACAAGGGAGCAAGGGAGGGGATTGGAGAGAGAGAGTTAGGGACACCTGCTATAAGAAACCCATCTTGTTCATTTCTGCGGACGTAAGTGTCGCTGTCGCCCATGAGAGGAAAGTCTTTCCTTTCGTAAAACAGTAGATCGAAGACGAGGTGGCGGCTGAATGTTGTTACGACTCAACATTTCGCCCTCATTTTTTGAGGAGCAGGAAAAGGTCAGAATGGTACCTTTTCGTCAATCAATTATCCTATAGATATTTTAATCTTCTCAACAGTATAACTCTGTGATTGAAATTGACCGTTTCAGGAATAAAGTGGTTAATTAAGTGTCGACTTTGCGTGAAACAGCATTTTCTGCAATTACACCCTTTCGCCTTCTTTTTTTCGCCTTTCTCCCCACATTAAGTTAATGATTATTGAAACATATATATGTTTCAATAATCATTAACACACTTCCGCGTATGAATGGTGCTTTGATGAGGGCTGTGAAAAATCGCCTTCTGCAGTAATTTTAGCTTTCTTCACCGGCACGTCTTCGTTGAGAAATAAAATACACGCAATTCAACTACACATTTTAATTAACGTAATGATGCCAGTTAGATTGTGTTTTATTTAGTTACACAAAAGAAAAGAAGTTACCTTTCCCAAAATTCCACCTGCAACAACCAGCAATGGAGTAACAGAAATCAGAACCAAAGTGAGCTTCCATCCATACACGAACGCCAAGACGAAGCCCGCTAACACTATGGATATGGCGTGCACGAACATACCGATCTTGTGCCCAATTCCATCAAACACTTGATTCAAGTCTCTGGATAAAAGAAACAGTACAAAAAGTCAGTCACTGAGGTAAAGGTGAATCTATGACATAAGCACTAGGAAATAAATGCAAATTCAAACAGTGGGACTGTGGGAACCGCCACCAAACTGAGTGAACCATAACCTGAGTAAACAGTCGACATTTCGCGACGCTACCACTGGTTTTCCCGCGAAATTACGTCTGAGAAACGATTGCAGGAATTCCATACTGATGACGCCTCTCTTCCTAGACTTGGGTAGTGCTTTTGATTGGTTGAAGTAGATTTCCCACGCGGCACGACCAATCGGAAACACTACCCAGTGGTGGCATCGCAAAATGTCGGCTTTTTTCTCCGGCTACGTGAAACAATAAAATAACCGCTTAAAACATTCTAAGAAGGTATATATAACGCAGCCAATACAAAAGGAAGCACGGATGGGCAAAACTGAAGAAGACCAAAACGGAAGCAATTGTTGTTTTTGAGAACATGTTCGCCTAACGGATTTTCAAAATTCATTTTTGAAGTTTGTAACGTTTGATATGATATGCTTGGGAGACAATTTTGTTTGACACAAAGCTGTGATTTTATCACTAGCAAGTAATTTCAAGTTTCATGGCGAATAACTGACTTTAAGATGCCACGACGGCGACGACAACGAGAACGTCAAAAAAGTAAAAGGTTGAACGGGCAAAACAACAACTCTGCCCGTGCATCACGCATTTTGGTACATTTCTTTGCCGTCACTGCACGGCTATGACGGGAAAACGCCTTATTTCACGTTTTAGAGAGGATGCAAACAAGCGACGGCTAAATTTTCTTTCTTTTTCTGAACTTGAATATGGTTCTTAGAAGTTGCGCGCACACTTACTCAGTAAATCGATTGTTGAGTTCTCCAGGTTCAGATGTGTCAAACCACCCAACGTCCTGTTTCAAAATGGAACTGAAGAGAGCAAGACGCATTTTCTTTACTTGCCGAGTAGCAGTTAGGGACCAAAACGCCATCTGTCCATACGCGACGACCAAGTTACCAGCCGCCAGGTAAACATAATACAGAGCAAATTTTGTCATCTCGCCATTCAGATCGTAAGTCTGTGTAGCATTGCCGGTTGGTGCTTGCTCAAACTCGATAAAGCTCTGGATTAGATCACCAAAGATAAGGAACTGAACGGGAATCGCAGCTCCATGAGCAACTGCCGCTAAAGTGCCCAGGGTTATCAACACAACATCTAGCTTGTCACTAAAACGAAACTAAGACACAATCAAACATCAATTAGTGGGAAGGAATTTGTAAATTACCTAACAATTTTAGGGCGATCATTGACAAATCAGTACAAGATTATCAGTGTTGGATTCAGTATTGACCTTTCTTGCGCGCAGAAATTTTCACGCGCGCTCGCGTGCTTCGCTCGCTCTAATATCCTTCACTGATGAAAATTTTGGGACTACTCGTAGTTTAACCGGTATTTGCTCTACAAAATTTCTTTCTTCCCTCCGCGTGTCATCCTCCTCGCGCGCGGCTATTTTCAAGTGGGCTCGCGCAATTCACACATTTTACTATCCCTGAGGAAAATGAGGGCCGCCTAAACCCGGTATTTGCTCTACAGAAAAATTCCCTCTTCCCTCCGCGAGTCACATTCTTCGCGCGCTGCTATTTTGACGCGTGCTCGCCTAATTCGTTCATTTTACCACCTCTTAGGAAAATGATAGACTACTCGTTGTCGAAACCGTACTTGCCTTCAAAAAATTCTCTCTTCCCTCCACGTGTCACCTTCCTCGCGGTTGGTGAGTTTCACGCGCGCTCCCTAATTCGCTCACTTTTCTATCCCTGAGCAAAAACAGGGACTACTCGTAGTCGAATGGGAACTCTACATTCGAAAAAATCTCTCTTTCCTCCAGGTGTCACGTGCTCGCCTAATTCGCTCATTTTTACTATCCCTAGGCCGGGAAAAGTGAGGCAATACGCAATTTGCAGCTAGACAAAGGAAATTACAAGTTAAAATTATGTATGCCTTTTGTTGCTCTCCAGCATGGCAGTTTTGTACCACGTGAATGGCTACCGGCAAAGGGCCTATTCGTAGGCGAATCGGTACTTTCATCCACGTGTCACCTTTCGCGCGCGCTCGCTCTTCTATCTCCAGGGAAAACGAGGATCTACTAGTAGTCTATACAATAAATTCAACCGTCATGGCAGTGAGGTTGATCCATTTGAGTCGAGAAACGAGGAACCACAAACTTGATGATGATACTTTTAATTTATTTTAACAGCATGTCAAAGCATCTCAAATTACAGCCGGGCTAGTCATCCCTTAGAGCTGTTTGTATGGATTTCCATTTTTTACTGAAAACTCTGCCTGAACACAGCACTGGGTGGGACCGACAGTGGTCTTCCACTCCTAAACTAGCCTGTTCCAGGCTCCAAAATAGTAACTTGAAGAGACTACAAAAACTAATGAGAAAAACGCGCAATCCATGCAACGAGTATGAGTCAAGAACTCTTGGAACGAGGTTGGTATACCCCAGGATTTATTCAAACAAATGGCTGAATCGTTTTAAAACATGATTCACTTTTCAAAAACAAGTCCCGACAAACCACCACAAAGCGACAGTTGCTGACAAAACTGATGAGCTTAAGAATCTTGTGAATATCATTTGAGCGGGTGTTCTTTTCGTTATGACAGTTCGATAAAGGTTATTTAAGCCATTAGCGAACGGAAATTCTCTCCTCATCAGTTCAAATCATGTTTGCTTGTTAGATTTTACCCTATGAGCAAGCTCTCCAATCGGGGCAGTGGCGAGAATTCACGATAGAGTTTTCTGTCGGAGAATCGTTCAACCAATGATCGAAATTAAAAACCTCTGCTTGTAAGAGAGTTCGATAACTTACCAGTTGGCCAAAAGAAACTATGGGTGGTTTTTCTTCTGCTTCTTCCTTTTTCTTGTCGTTACTAAACCAAAAAAATGTTAAGAAAATAAAGTTTTTCTCTTTTTTAAGTATAAGGGAATGGGCTGCTTTCTGCCTTATGTTGGAAATTTGCACGCAGTGCAAATAGTGTCCATAGTAACGGTAACTATCACGGGGGAACAAAAGTACATATCACTGTGACGTCACAGTGATATGTGTTCCCCCTTGATATGTGTTTCCCCGAACACATATCCCCAGTGAAATGTATCTCCCTAACCCGGGAAAGCATACCACAAGAGATATGTCTTTCCCGGGTAGGGAAACACATATCACCAGGGATGTGAGTTCGGGGAAAAACATATCACGGGGAAACACATATCACTGTGACGTTACAGCTATATGAGTTTCCCCGTACTATGTGTTTCCCCGAAAACATATCCCCAGAGAAATGTGTTTTCCCCACACGGGAACACATGTCACTAGGGATACGCTTTCGGGGAAACACAAGTGATCAAACCCTTTCAGTTTACTTTCCTCGCTAAATTTAATTAAAGCTTTCAGAAAACAAACACTATTTAAGATTGCATTTCCTTGCATCGTTAATACTGGTGGTTTAAGAAAACGTTTCCGACATTTTTATTACAGAAACAGCGCGGTGCATGCATAGTGTTGTTTTCTCGTGCGTCTAAGACTAGGTCAGGAGCTACTGCTACTGTGACGTTACAGTGATATGTGTTCCCCCGAACACATATCCCTAATGAAATGTGTTTCCCCAAAAGGGGAACACATATCACTGGGGATACGTGTTTCCCGGTTACAGGAGCCCATGACTAGCAGCGTCTATCTCCACTGATTTCTGGAGTCAACCCTTTATCAAGTAGATCAAATAAAACGGCTGGCTTCGAGCTAAAAGTGTCATATTTCTGCGAGTCTCGTAAGTCACCGTGAAAAATAAAGGGGGACGAAGGTGAAATCAGGAGACTTTCCTTCCACCGTTTTCCTTTTCACCATGCGCTTTTTTTCCCGATTTTACAGCCGATGGGATCTGGGTATAATGAAACTAAAGTTAATGATAATATATCACTTTCCGCGCGAAAACAATAGCTGGACATTCTCAGGAAGGGCATGGATGAAAACGAGAACGACTGGAATGACTTCATCAACGGCGCCTTGTTTACCACTAACACCAATCTCTTAAGCACGACCAAGTTTAGCTCCTTTATAATGTTTGGTCGTCAAACACGGCTACCATTCGACGTTGAAAAATTTGTGCAGCAGGCCGAAAGGAGGATGCTTCAGTACATAGACAAGATGGCTACGACAAGAAATGTTGTGGTTTCCCAAGGTAGAACGCAACATAACCATAACTCAGGGGAAACAAAACAAGGCAGCAACGAAAGAGGAAAGCAGGCCTAAATAAGAGCTTTGAGAAGGAAGATGTTGAGCTGCGACGCAACATGCTTCAGAAAAGACAAAGCAAGGTCACAAAATCGAAGATAAGTGGCTGGGGCCTTACCCAATAGAGGAAATTAACTTGGAAAACGGAACATGTCAGCTACGCGGACGAGTTGAGCAGATTTTAAGGCGAAAAACTAATTTGAAGGATGTTAAGATTTACAAGCCACAGCAACTGAGTTCAGGAGACGACCAAGATGGTTTGTCTGCGGCCCAGAATGAAGAGGTGGAAACTCCACTGTCTGCAGCGTTACTGACTGCAGTACCCCAAAAGGGTGAAGCAACCAGGCCTCCACCTAACTGCAGGCACGAACAGACCAGAGATACCGCGCATTCCCCATTTTCTACTAGTGTACAAGGAGAAGCAACCAGGCCTTCAGTGCACGAAGCACCCCAACAGGGTGATAAAACCAGGCCTCTAGCCAACAGCATGCACGCACGGGACCCAAAGGGAGGGAAGCAACCAGGCCTCGACCCAACCGCATGCCTGAATAAACCATAAACGCCATGTTTACACAGTCTTTGAAGATGTACAAGGAGATGCAGCCCAGCCTCCACCAACCTTCTCACTCTATCAGAAAAGAACCACACATCGACGGTCCTCCGCACCCCATAAGAAAGAAGCACTCAGCCAGCTGTTACCGGCCTCCACGCCTCAACAGAGCATAAAAAGACGAATCAAAGTAGCCTGAATTTCAGAGATTACTTCGAATCGTTTTCTCCTCTCAGCAACGTCTGAATAAACCGGCCGTTTAACGCCGTCCGTTAACGTCGCTAAGCGAAAACCGTGTAGTGATTTTGATCGGTTTATTGTCTAAACATTCGCATAATTAATGCCTGGCATGCTTGCGTGGAGTTCAAAAATTTGCACAACGTTTATCTTAAACAGCAAAATTGCCCTTGTCTTTGAAACTATGAAATGTTAAATTGAATGACAATATATCAAAAGCCAAATTAACTGTTCTTAGCTTTCTTTGATATGAAAGGACGGATTCACTTGGAACAGGGTGGCATGGCCGTCGCATTTTTTCGTCAGTATTGCTTTTTAAGTTTATCAACAATAAAAATAGCTAAAAGTTTGCGTGCATTAGGGTAATGCAACGGATGTACCCGTGTGATGCAAATAATTTGCATGACGGGTAACTAATTTTAGTTACAACGAAAGATTATTAACCTGTCACGTCATCGGAAAGTGATCTTTTTTAAATATTTCATGATAAGGTAAAAATCACGCAATGCAATGAAGTCACTCAAAAACAACTCTCGTTCGTTCTTCTTCGTTCGAAGGTGGTTAAGTAGACTTCAGATATCCAAGATGCCTATCCAAATTTAGCTCGCAAAAACAGGGGACACTTTCTTAACGTTACAAAAATCATGTCCTCTTGAAATTGCAAACACTAAAACACACGGTCGCAACAAAAGCACATGTCACTTCTACAATATGAACCACGAGCGAATATATTTTGTAAGAGACTTCAGCCTTTAACATTCCATGGAATATTAAAAGCTAAAGTAACTATTCTTAGCTTTCTTTGATATGAAATATGCTGGCAATAGCCGTCGCATTTATCCGTCAGTATTTTTTTTAGGTGTGTCAACAATAAAAATAGCTAAATATTTTCGCGCATTGGGGCAATGCAACGGATACACTCGTATGCTGGGAATATTTAATTTATAAAATACAAGAAATTCATGTACATTACCCTCATAAATTTATGAGTTCTTTTCTGCACGCGTGAATCGAAAATAAGGGCGCAGATTCCTCCTACCATTGTTTACAAAACACTCGAGGCAAACTACACGTGCCAAAAGACCTTTTATACAAAGCATCACCATGCTTTGGCAAATTCTAACCTGTCATCGGCGCCATCTTTAGCATCATCGGTGTCGTTCGCGGATATTTCACCATTCGTTTCGCATTCATCGGGACAAATCTTTACCTCAAAATCGCTAGGATTAATTTTGCCATCTTCTGCGGCGAGGAGAGGTTCGGCTACTGCTGGTTCATCCATGACTGATTTTATTTGACCGCCGGCAATTTACGGAGTCTTTGTGGTGGCTTACCTAAATAAAGGCAATTTTCGTATCGCCGTTTCAGTGGATGGAACTCAATAACCTTAAGGTTATGATGAAATGATGTCCCTCAAGCAACGTCAGCGATATATGCTCAAAAACATTAAGCTGAGCTCAGCTATTAAATTGTGATGATTCGCGCGCGAGAGACGTCGCCTTCTAAATTTAGACAAGTGTTGCTCGCAAACTGCGCAAGGTCAAAAAGGGGGCTTGCCACATGTCACTTTGAACTTGCTTGGATTGAAATTGCAAGCACAACAAATTATTGCTGCTGTAGTTTTATTTTACTTTGTTTTCCTCTTTTGTAGCTTGTGAGGTGAGGTCTTGTAGATCATCACAGCGGCATTACAATATGTGGCGTAACAGCATGCTATAAAAATATTTCTAAGGGCCTGTTTACGTGGAGGTGGGGGACCCCGGACAGGTGAGGCCCTGTCGGCAAAGGTCGAATTTCAGATGTGCCGAACTTAATTGCTAAAATAGTTAAATACGGCATTTGATTCAAACGTCGAATTTAACTCACTGAACTCTGTCGAATTTAACTCTCTTCGCTGTCAATATTCCCAGTAATATAATAATAATTTACTAAAATTCATTCATTAACAAGTCGGCACATGTAAAATGCCACGTTTGAATCAAAAGTCGAACCTAAGTCGAATCTTCGACTGTTTCAGTCGCAGATACGCCAAACGTTGCATTTAATTTAAACAGTCGAATTTAATTGATTCAAACGTCGCACTTCACATGCATTTAACTCGCGCGTTAAGTTCGGCACGTGTGAAATTCGACGTTTGAACCGGGCCTGAGATAACCTGTCGCGGGTCACCCCACCTATCACGTAAATATGGCCAGGCGGGATACCCCCTCCTAAGCGGGTTAACTCTCGTTTACTTTAGCTGACTACTAAAAAATTTCTGGAGAACACCGCTTTAACCACGTGTAAATATTTCGTTAGAGACTTGAGCTTGGGCTTCCTAAAAAGAAAGTTCAAGTAGCTGGCGGAATTAGCGGGGAGTGCCATTGCCGAGTGAAGATTGGGAGCAAGTCAAACTGAAATCCCGCCAGCCCTAATTCATGGGTATTTTGAATAGTCCGAAAATCAGGCGCAAGGGAGTTTCTGATTGGCAATAACACGCCAATCAAATGTAATGGATTAGACTGCGTAGCAGGCGCTTGGAAGTAGTGGGTGAAAGAGAAAACGGGCGCGCGAGAGGGAGACACGCGAGGGGTGAGGGAGCGCCTGCACGGAAGGCCCCCGAAAATCGTTTCAACTCGCATTCTGTGAGTGCGGATATTTCCAGATGGTCGAGAGGCTCCCGAGGGAAAAAGGTACCGCGCGGGGCGAGAAAACTGTCAATCAATAGTACATGGACAACGAAGTGAAGATCTTATATTACACCACTAGTTCCTGAAACCACTAAATTGTAGTTCAGGTCTCGGAGGTCACTTCAATCTGGTTTAATGGGACTATTTGGCTGTAATCTCAAAGAAAAATTGGAGTGTTCAAACGGTATTCAAGATGGAAAGAATTGACATCAGATACGCATTAACAGAAGTGACGAGAGACAAAAGATTTGTCGAATCGTTGCAATGAAGATCAGAGGAGATATTCTATGCTCAGGAGAACTTGGCGGCTTGTGTTCTCGTTACTGCAGTAGAAAACGTGTCGATACAGTTTGTGTTCTGAAGTTTAGGTCCGCTTAGTAAGACATGTCTGCTCCAAAAACGGCTACCACTTAGCAATGGCCATTTTCCACGTACTCGTACTTTAAAAAAAACATTTCTACAGCGATCTGACGAGTACCTCAAAGACCGTTGTAATGAACACAGACGACATATACTCAACCCTACTGGTAATTACACCCATACTGCAGTTTCAGAACACTTTCTTACCAGCCATTATTCCGACAATCATATGCTTTTGATTCCTATTGAAAAACTTAAAAATGGGCGTGATTCTTTCAGGAAAGCACGTGAAGCCCACCTTATCCATAAAGCAAAGAGCCTCCGGGCATCAATAAACGTGATGAACTGTAACTATATATAGTATATCTTTTAATTTTTAGTTATCCACGTCATATTATGTAATTTTCGGTCATTATGTTACTTCATATATATTTCTGTAAATTCGTGATATCTCAATAAACCTGATGAAGACTGGTATTGGCCAGTCGAAATATCGCACAGTCACGTTGTTTGATCAGTCCCTGCAAGTCTTCTTGAGTGTAACGTTTTCAATTCTATACCTCGGCCACTTATAATATGTCAGATAACATAAAGGAAGGCATTATGGTTACTTATTTTTGAGCTATTCAATGTTAAATGAATAATTAATAACATACTTAGGTTTACAAAAGGTATTTTTAATAATCAGTGAAACGAAGCGAAGAAAAAATCGGAACGAACTTTTGAAACACCCTGTAATCGAGTCATAGGCCTAGACTTGCCACAGCTCCACTTCAATGCCTTGAAGGACATAGGGGGGCACTCATGCAAAAATTTATCCCGCGTTTTGTGCTTTTTAGCGATCTTTTAATATAATTTCCACCTTATTCCGGGTTTTATACCCGGTCCGCAGTTGGCAGTCGGCAGTCAGCAGTCCACAGTCCTCTACTTCTATTGCCCATAACCGCACTGAAATCGGTTTGTGAATTCAAGAGAATCGTCGTTGCGGTTTTAAAGTTGCTTTAATACAGTACTTAATATTTGAATAGTATCTCGCAAGGAGCCTTCTATTCTTTTGGTAAGTTTACAAGTTAGCTCACTGGTTCGATTTGTTGCGGTGAATCTGGTGGTTCGACAACTGTGAAGTCGTTGGTTCGGTGGCAAATTAAACGTAGGCCTAAAATCACATTCTGTGCAGCTAGTCACGCCTTAACCCACAGCTTCAAGACGAAGCAACATAAATACCCAATTGGCTTTGTCTTCTATCGATTTGTACTTTGCCTTTCTACGTAGTAGCTTTTTGCCTGTTTTTGTTCAACCCAACATGACTTGGACGTGATTCGAAGTTGCAGCCAATAAAAATCGCACAAATTTTTCGGGACGGGCGCGACATACGGGAATTCTGCCGTATTTATGACGCTGGGCTTCGTCCTCCCGCATAAACATTAGGGAGTTTAAGATACGGAGACTACGGACTACGAACTACGGCTGGACGAGCGTTATCCTTTGTTCGTAGCACTGGGTTGAGTCGTGCAAATATAGAACGTTAAGATTGCACTACAGACAGAAGACTACGACAGAAGAGGCGGAGAGGGAAACAACACGCAAAGATTTTCTTGTTTTTATCACAGT